TAAATATCAAATGTTGAAATATTTCTATAAGTTCAAAACAATTTCGGCCAACAACATTAGTCTAAGGTCATGAATCAGTATGTAGATAATAGATAATGTAGCATAGTAATGTGACTAGAGTCAGAGTGTCCAGTTTATCCCAAATCCCAAATTCATCCCAAATTAATATCTCAAAAACTTTATTAATAACCTTTGCTTAAACAAATAGTACAGTATACCTTCGTTAATATCAACCTAAGCCATATGATGAATTTTTACAAATTCTCCTCATATATATCAACTTTAATATAATCCCTTGTTAATATCACTATCAACATGTATTTAAACCAATTCAAATGGGTTGATATAAACGAGGGTAGACTGTATATATATTAAGATTATTTATTTGATTTATAAATAACAATTGTTTTTTTGAAATTTGAGATTGTCAGGGTTTTGCCAGCAAATATAGTCTAGCTATTCGTAGTATCTAAAAATAGCGCTATTTCAAGCAAATTGCTACAGATCTAGCTATATTGTTTTTGTGCTAAGATGCGAAATTTGCCATTCATGCAATAATTATAAGACTTTCCTTTTGTTTATGAATCATAAACAAAAGGAAAGTCTTATAATTATTGCATGAATGGCAAATTTCGCATCTTAGTAGTGATACGGGCCGGCCCGAAAATATCTGCCGGATATCTTCGGAATGTAGACAATAAGACAACATTTGAATACGAATCTCTTATTAGGGTCAAATTGAATCTGAATAACTTTCAATCGATGTTTAAAAGAGTGAAAAAAGGTTGAGTACCTTTCAGAATTATTCAAGATCATTCATAAAAGGGTCAACCCCGATCGGCCGCCCCAAGGTTGGTCAGCCCGGGCCGGCCCTGACCCGAGATTTTTTCATCACTATATTTCAACCACAACCAGAACTCTTAAAATTCCAAGAAAATCTTTGTTAAGAGTTGGTTTTTCAATATTATATATAAGTTTTTGCTTTAATAATATTTCATTAAAGGAATTATAACTACTAATCGTTGTTATTCTCTTTACCCTAAACCTTCTAGTACGCGTAATTTCATTAGAGTATTCTTAATTTCGAATTTGTTAATTCGGCTATTTGTTGCCACTCAGATAGGCTTTACGCGTCATAACCGGATCTTTTATAGCATCGATCATAGTGCAGTAGTGGCATAAACTCTTCTTCGGTCACGAGGACTACGGAGTAGATTCGCCTTGTTTTCAGTGACAGTATATACGAAGCACACTAGATTATCTTGGCAATTTGTCAATTTATTTAACACATAACGATAAATGGAAATCACCTGATAGTCAATGAACACCACCTGATGGCGAACTAACCTTATACGTGAGAAGTGAATGTAAAGAATTTAATCCAGATCAGGAATTACCCTTTGATGCTACTGTAATAGCCTATTTACAGTATCGAGTAATGCCAGAAATATCTAAAATTTTATTATATAGAAATACAATCTAAATTTAAATGGATATGTAGCTCTAACGCTAACGGTTCTATGTTCAATATTTTAGGATAAAATTTACAAGGATTAATTATATATTTATAATCAAAGGTACAAAATATAATATATTTTTTTTTACTTTTTTAAAATTTTCAAGTTTAAAAGTAATGGCTTCGTAACTTTGCTTATATGATATATAATCTTAGTCTTTGCAAAATTTTACCCTAAAATATTAAACCGTAAATTTCACGAAAAATTAATAAAATGTATTCTCTATAAAAATAAATTCTATATGTATAAGAAAATAAAGTTTTTTATACGTATAATACCACATAGTCTTGATTTACATCGTATTCCCCGTGTGTATCTATTCTAAACGTAAAAAACACAAGAATTTTTTTAAAGTCTTAATGGGTTAATGGATTAATTCTAGGCTTTTTTTATAAATAATATAAATACCTGAACATAAATGCAATTCAACAATGTTGTTTTACCATTATATGGTCGATACCACTGAGTTTTTAGAGAATATGACGGAAGATGCCTTAATATATTATAGCGCCTCTGACGTCAAGATTGAACGGACTTATATAAATGACTAAGGATAGAACTGTTAAATTTTAAAATAAATTACGATTTTTTTCGGGATAATAAAGATTTTTTAAAGTATGTCATGTAAAATTTTATAATAGAGCTTTTATGTAAAATACATAATTAAAACTTACAATGCCAAATTTTTATTGCTCAGGATACAAAAAAAAAAAAAAAAAAAAAAAAAAAAATACAAAAATTACAAATTTTATATATAAACACAAAGTGATAAATATTCCACAAAGTAATAATCTTCCAATCTATATACCCAAGAAATAACTTATTTGAATATCAACTTGACTATTAGCTATCCAACTTATCTACTGGATCACCATGTACACGGAACCGATATAGACACGTATACGATGGTTTTCCCCAATTGTTGATTACTTTCATAATGATTGCCCTTACAGGTTTCTTCGAATTACGAATTTTATCGCTCACTTCGAAAGTTTGTACAGGTAATCCGTTAATATCATAAGTGAATCTTCCCAAAAAGTGATGGAGCGGTGATGAACCAAGCTTAAGTTCACCAGTAGTGGAATTTTCGATTGAAGGGTCAGCATCTAACGCTTTAGGGCGTGATTTACTTGGAATATTGTTACTTCCGCCTGAATTATATTCACCATCTTCACGAACACCACATTCCTCTTCTTGTGACTCTAATGGCTCTTCTTCATATCCGTCATTGTCCAGTTGTTTATTATTATTTCCAATAGTACCATCATCAACGATTCCCCAAACTTCAAAATCTTTAGGTGCACTTAATACATCTACGGCGACATCTTTGCTAACATGATCATAAGTTACTGCAGTTACATGCACCCGTCGATTTAACAAGATTGCTAATTGTCCTTCAGAACCTGGAAAAGGCCAACATTGACCAACATGTGTATCTGGTGATATAGCTGTGACTGGCGGCTTTCCACGTAGAACACCTTGACCTGAAAATTGAGCAAACATTCTCTTATACCATTTTTCAGGCCATAATTCATATGTCTTACTTGTATACCGGGCGATTACTTTTGCACCTCCAGAGTACAAAGCAAAATCTGGTTTATTTAGCTTATCTTGTGAAAACACCAAAAGTTCTTCTGAAACGACCTTTCTTGCTTCTTTACGTATTATTTCCATCATTTCTTCTCCTCTTAATGGGACACGACCTGTCCTATAAGAAGCCATTTCTTTTTTAACTTCAGATGAGCATAAAGTTTTTACTTCTGTATTGATTAATGATCTGATACGATCATTACTAGGTGGAATAGTTGGATTTTTGTTCTTACACGAGTTCTCAACTTCAGCAGCAATTAATTTCCTAAGATCATCCATTGTAAATACCACCTTACCACCAGCTGCAATATCATTCTCATTACTACCTTCTCCGATTGGTTGTACTGTATATGTAGAATTGTCTAAAGGCCAAAACCAAAATTTGTCAGATGAACGATGTCGCGGGAAATAATCAAAAATACTCTTATCATCAACAAAACTAATAATAATAACTAAAAGTAACGCTATAAAAGGAATTAAAAGCAACCAGAATAATTTATTATTTCTACGAACGTTAGTAATAGCAATAATAACGTAATTATGTGTGGTAGTGGTAGATGGTACATTGCGATCAACTCCAACTATTGTTTCTATGAAAGGACCATTTTCATTTTCGGTTAAATTCTTCCAAACAAAATTCGGAGTTTCTTTAATAACCCAATATATATAAAAGAATATTGATTCATGACCTTAGACTAATGTTGTTGGCCGAAATTGTTTTGAACTTATAGAAATATTTCAACATTTGATATTTA